TAACTGGACACGACTGCCTAGCATACCACCTTCACCGCTATGGCATTTTACCAGACCCGTCATGTAATTTGTGTGCCCTCCAAGATATGAATAGGGATCATCTCCAGCACTACCCAGCTCTGTCCAAAACGACAGAATGTGATAGATACTGGGAAGCGAGGAACCTTATTAGTCAATAATTTATTTAATTTTATCTATTTTTGTTTACAATTTGAGTTATTATTGTTTCATCTCTTTGTCTTATTTTGGAGATTTTAAAAATTCTGTCTAAAGGTTGTATTTAGGTCAATGATATAAAATCAATGTACCTGTCATTAGAAAATAATAACATAAGGTTTTATCCTGATTGTAGCTACCAGAAATGAATGATGCAAGTTTCTTTTACATTGTGCACTAAAACGTCATAACATGGATGGCTCATTATTAAAATACACGTATAATTAAGATCAAGAACATTTTTGAAGCACTCTCTGAGGAATGATAGCGTACATGCAAAACACATAACTGTTTGCATCCACTTTCTTTGATTTCTGTTGCTGAAGAAAATATGTCATTAGGCACTGTATTTATATTGTAACATCAATTTATGACTGTTAAAGACAAGTAAAGTTAATGTGATTCAATACATCTATAATAATAATTCACAACTTAAATATTATGAAGTTATCGAGGGAATTCTTAATTTTGCTACCAGAAAAATAAATCAGCCATTTCCTTTCACTCAACTGCCCCCCTTCGGCACACGACGAACTATTCCGTACGTGGAGACACACGTAAGACGGTCTTGAAGGAAGAGTGGTCTAAGTACAGAAATAAAACACAGAGTGAGTGGTCGCTACTGTATTTCAAAATAAATTCTTTTCTCTAACGTCACAAATTTTAATCCTCATTTCCGTCACCACAAAACAACACGAGGTGAAATAAAGAGACCACTCGTTAGACCTAGACATAGAAGGAGTTAATTTAATGTGTCAATAACTAGGTGGGCTGTGAGGATGGAAAATGGATGGAGTTGGTTCAGACTTTTGCACTCTGTTTCGTCCTTTTGGCCAGTCTGCATTCAGGGCCGTCCTTGGAATTGGGCACATTAACTTCACAGCCCCCCATCCACTCCAAATACACAAACTCTGCAACAATAACAGTGTTTTTCTTAAATTACATTTCATGTCAAAACTCTGCATAATTCAATTCCTGTATGGAAAAGAGTCCTCCAAAGGAGATAATTTTTGATAAAAATTCCCCAACAATCTGTAAATATCTGTTTCAGCAATGATGCACTGCTGATACTGAAGGTAGAAGTCTCTTATTTGCCTTGTAACTACTAATAAAAATTTTCCAATTTCACTGTTCCTCAAAAAGTTAGGTTATAACACAAAGTTCACATACACTTTGCAGTATATCATCTGTTTTTTCATTTGATATAAACATTTAAGAATATAACTACACTGCAGGAGATGTTACTATCATTCTTCTGTAGGATCACTAAAGGAAACTTCACCAAATTAGAAACATCCAAGCATAAAATATAACTATATGCCACAAAACACAAGCTTATTTTCATGAAGCTGAATATTCGTTATGATAAATAATTTTCTTCTGTTTCCACAGTACTGCTGATACACTTCACAGGTAATAACTAGCTAAATGTGCAACCCAACCATAAAGCATTTTTATACTCTTTGTATTACATGTCCACCTATCTCATCTACAAAAGTCTGTACCTTTTACTTTTTAAACTGACCAAATAAATAATGAGTGACAAGTATTTGATGTGATACATGCCTCCGGGACAAGCACTTGTCACAGCTGGTTTACTGGGAGTGATCATTCTGCATGTTCCTTACTCACAGCCTTTGTCTTGTGGAATAGGAATATCCTGGCCTACATCACCACCCATAATCTGTCAACGAGAAATAATGACTATATTTAACATTCACAAATGCCAGTTCCGCAGTTTGCATATCCCTAAAATTGCCTTCACAGAAGCATCATTCAAAATAACAGACACTTCACTGAGACCGCTCACTATGAATTTCCAAATAGCACACCTTCATAATCTGCACCCAACATCATGCACACCTTTTCTACAAGGACCCCTCATAATTGATGCACGCTGAAATTTCTCATAAACAAAACTTTGTTTTACAGCACCATGGTAGTTCCACAAGCGAACAGTCAGTACACAGAAATTGTGGTTTTCATTATCAAATCTTAACAGGATTATATGACTTTCAGAGACATGTTTTTAATGACATCAATGGCCAAAAGTGCCACCATTAAAGATTTATTTAAATGTCACACACTTTGATCCCATTAAAATTAAGTAACATATATGTCTTTCTACAAAACAACTTTTCACAGAATAACTATCACATTTTTATCTTGCCCACCTCTTCCAAGAATCAAACCTGGACCAACCATCCTATGGAGTTTGCTTTCAAAATTTTCCAAAAAGAACTCCAAGATAAAATACCAGAAACTGCAATACCAAGCAGGTGTGTTTCAAGAATTACCTAAAGGTCCGAGTGGTAGTGGGTGTAAGTGGCAATCCAAGGGGGAGGTAAGCAGTAGAGTGTCTATGTGGTATTGCAGATAAATGCTTGGTACGTAAATGACTTCTATTAGAGGCTTATGTCAGGATCTTGATGTTACCGAGTCTAAGTGAAGTGTTACTGGTGCAATATGTATGACATGAGGTCAGCAGTTCAGAAACAACAATCCACTTGCAAGTCAAAGCCTGTAGGCAATGTCAGGAGCATTATGATGGAAAAGGGGGTTGGGGAAGAATGTATTTGTATGTGCTGTCCACTCATATCCTGAAATACTTTTGGTCCCTTCCTGTTTTAAGATTCTCTACCCTTCACCTTGTTATTAGTTCTTACT